GCTGTGTGGCAAGCCTCACAGGCCGGCCGCACGCAGACCTTGGGATTTTTTGCTGCTTAACCCTGCAGTTCTAGGTGTCTCGTTTTTGAGGGAAATGTGGGCAGTCCTGTACCTTACGATCCCTTTCTGGGTCCCTTATAAAATGCGGCACCCATCATGAGAAAGGCCCCCCAAACAACCCTAAATCAAAGAACGAAGCCAATTGAGAGCTACACGTGTACATACATACACACGTACGTACGTACGTACGTACGTACATACATACATACATATGCTTAAACCTTCAACCCTCAATGCCTAGACTCTAAACTCTATAAACCCGCACAAAAAAAGAAAAGCGTCCGCACCAGCATCTTCCAGGCCACCTGGTTGTTGAGCTGCGTCTCGTAGAAGAAGTCTTGGAACTCCTCGAAACTCGAGGACGCAGTGAGCCCGGGGTACCACTCAGGGTTGCCGGCCACGCCCACAGTCATGGCCCAAGTCACCGCCTCAAAATGGGGCAGTTTAGGGTTTAGGGGTTTAGGGGTTTAGGGGTAGAGGGGTTTAGCGGTTCAGGGGTTCAGGGGTTTAGGGGTTTAGGGGTTTAGGGGTTTAGGGTTTGGGGCTTGGGGTTTGGGGTGTTGTTAAGGCCGATGCTGGGGATGCAAAGCTCGGGACTTGGCTGTTAGTCGGGCCTAGGGCTTTTTGAGGGCTTAGGGCTCAAGGGGTAAAGCTCCAAGCCCTGCCTTCATCCATCTTAAAGAAAATAAGCCCTTAGACGATCTCAATCCTACAACCATCTCAAGCACTTAACCCCTAAAAACCCTAAACCCCTAAAAACCCTAAACCCTAAACCCTCAAACGGCTTGAGGCCTTCGCCCCCAAGAGGCCTCGAAGCAGGGCTCCCCCGGCAGAGCCGTGCCGCAGGGCGGCGGCGTGGTGGTGGGCGGCGCCGGAGGGGGCGGGTCGAGGGGCTGCGTGCTGGCGAAGGAGGCGTAGAGCTCCCCCAAGGCCGAGAGGCTCCCGTTCTCAAGGGCGTTTTGGGGGGTTTAGGGTTTAGGGTTTAAGGATTTAGGGTTTAGGGTTTAGGGTTTATATAGGGTTTAGGGTTTAGGGTTTAGGGTTTAGGGTTTAGGGTTTAGGGTTTAGGGTTTCGGGTTTAGGGTTTAGGGTTTAGGGGGGGGGGTCTCTGTAGGGCCGGGTTTTTTCATGGGGCTTCTTAGGGGGGTTGTAGGGCTTTCCGTAGGGTTCGGAAGGAGTTAGGGGCTCAAGGGGCTTTGGGGGTGAGGAGTTTCAGGTTTAGGGTTTAGGGTTGAGGTTGAGGGGAGCTTTCCTTGCAATTAGGGGCTGGGGCTCTCAATCTCTCAAGGCTTCCAGGAGGCCTTGTAGATGAGGCCGGCGTCGCCGTTCTTGCCGTCCACGATGGGAAAGTCCCAATCGTCCTCGAACATGTTGAACCAGGCCTGGGTGCCATGCACCCACGTCAGGATTATACTAGCAGTCCGTAATCGGGGGTACAAAAATCCCTATTCAGGACTGTTAGTATAAGGGGGAACATCCCAAACGCATCAAGAGCTCCAATGCTAGAGTAACCAGGAATACAAAGGGTATCTGTTTTGGTTTAAGGGCCTTGCGGGAACCTGACCCCCCCCTAAAGGGAATAAGGGCCCAGGAATTATGCTACACAAATCCCAATCACACCCCCCCTCCCAACAACACGATCAAGTAGACGCCAGACCCCCCCGCCCTCCGCAACTGCTTCCGAAGGGCATAGTACGCAATGGCAGGCTCCTGCAGCAGCGACCCCCAAACCCCTTAAGGGGGTCGGTTTCTGCAACCCCCCCACCAAGCTGTCCCGCACCCCATAGACGAATTCCTGCCAAAACGGCCTCCGAGCAATCAAAGAGCCATAGACCTTTACAGCAAAGCGCACTCGCAACCAGATCCATGTCGACAGGTTATTGAGCCCTGCGATCATAAACATGGGCTGCTCCCCCTTAGACTAACAGTCAAGTCAGAAGCTTTGAAGCCAAACAAGCTCAAACCTCCACAAAATAAAACCTCGAAGCCCCAAAACCACTAAGACCCCACAGCCCTGACGCCCAAAAACCCTACAAAAACTTTTTCAAGGCCCCATTGAGATCCTCGGCCCTACACCCTAATCCTAAACCCTTAAACCCCCAAAACCTGTGAACCCCTCAAACCAAAACCCTGCAATCCCTACAAACCCTAAACAACCCCTAAACAACCCCTAAACAACCCCTAAACAACCCCTAAACAACCCCTAAACAACCCCTAAACAACCCCTAAACAACCCCTAAACAACCCCTAAACAACCCCTAAACAACCCCTACACACCTAAAAACACCTAAACCCCTAAACCCACAACCCGAAAACACCGAAAAAAAACGACCACAAAACACAAAAAACTCACAAAACCCTGCTCCAGCACCCCAGAACCCGAAAAGACCCGGGGGCAAACAAACAGAAAGCACCTCTCCTGCTCCAGCACCGGGATGGCCTCGCGCATGAAGGCCATCTGCCCCTCTGCTGGAAGGCGCTCCGGGGAGGCGGCCTGTCAAGGGACTGGAGGAGGGTTTAGGGTTTAGGGTTTAGGGTTTAGGGTTTGGGGTTTGGGGTTTAGGGTTTAGGGCTTAGGGTTTAGGGTTTAGGGTTTAGGGTTTGGGGTTTGGGGTTTGGGGTTTGGGGTTTGGGGTTTGGGGTTTGGGGTTTGGGTTTGGGACCTTAGGGGTTATGTAGGGGGTCTTTGGGGGCTACTTAGGTACTTAGGGTCCCTGCTTTTACCCCACAAGCCTGGATGTTTAAGGGGGCTTCGAAGGGTTTTGGGAGGTTCTTGGAGGTTTTTATGTGTTTTTAAGGGTTTTCAGGTCTTGGGGGGGTTTTCCCAAAGTGCTTTTGTAAGTTTGTGGATTGTTTTAAGGTTTGTTTCTTTGTTGTTGTTTCTTTGGGGGTGGTTTTCCTAAGGGGGGGGGGGGGAGGGGGGGGGGTTGCTTCGGGCAGTTTAGGATTTCTTCGGGGTTTTTGGGGTTGAATGTTGGTTTTGAGGTCTACTTTGGGGCTTGGGGTTTGAGGTTTTGGAGTTTTGGGGTTTTGGGTTGAGGAGGCTTGGGGTTCAGGATTGGATGAAGCATCATGGGTTCAGGGTAGGTCCTTACAGAACCTCAAAACTTTGAAAATTGTAACCCTGGCCCCCCAATCCACCGAGCTTCTTTACGCGGGAATCGCCCTCCTTTGTTCCGAGGTGCAGAGCTCTATGCCCTAGTTCAGGGTTAGGGTTTTAGGGTTTAAGGATTTAAAGTTGTTTTGCGGGTTCTCAAGTTTTAGGGTTCTAGGGTTTTAGGGTTTCAGGGCTTTTGGGTTTTAGGGCTACGTGCTTCGTGTCCAGGCCCTTGAAGCCATTCTGCAGCCCCTTGCCTCGCTACAAGCGAACTCCGTGAGCCAGATCGGCTTCTCGAAGACCTTGTACATCTCGATGTGGTCCTAAACCCCAAACCCCCTAGAACCCCTAGACCCCCTAAACCGCCTAAACCCTAAACCCCTAAAGCCTGAACCCTAAATAAACCCTGAACCCTATACCCTAACCCTAAACCCTCAAGACAAAATAAACAGAAGTTGTATGTGGTATCATTCTGAATTTCCGAAGCTTTTTTGTCGAAATGGCTGACAAAGCAAAGCTTAAGTAAACCAGTCCAAAACGCCTCTGGGAAGCCAAGTTCTCGATTCGTTGAAATCTCCTCTCAGACCACCCCCCCCCCCCCCCCCCAACCCCTTCACACTACCCTAAGCTCCAAAAAAGAAACGCTCGTTCAAAAGGTTTCGTTCAACACTCTCGTTAACAACGGATTATGATCCACAGCATCTAACAGAGAAACTTTCGGTGAAAGAAATCGTTGAAAATCTTCGTTGATTTTTTTGTTGAAAACATTCGGTAAAAAAGGCTCGTTGAAAACGCTGTTTGGGGCCCAAACAAACCCTGTACAATTTCTGCAAACCCTTAACCTTAAACGTAACTCTTAAATGACAGTAGCCTCTCCCCCCCCCCCCCCAAAGAAGAAAAAAAAAAACACCCTTAAACCCTCGACACCCTCTGGCACCCTTAGACCCCAAGTTGCTTCGGGCTTCGAAGCATTGGGCAGCCTTAAGACTGGCGCTTGCGTTGAAGGCGTGGGGCTTTTCTCGTTGGGGTTTCGGGCTTGTAGGTTCAGAGTTCAAGGTTTCTTGGTCTAGGGCTTAGGGGCTTAGGCTCCAGGGTTTTAGGGCTGGCGGTTTGGGCTCAGAGTTTCTGCCTTCGGGTTTCGGGTTGAGCGCAGGGGCCTAGCCGAACAGCACAGGCACCACCGCAGCCCCAAAAGGGTTCAGGGCTCAGGTTTCGAGGCCCTAAACCCTAAAACCATTTAGGGTCACCCTGAAACCCTGGACTGCTTTACCCCGACAATCCTGGTCCTCCGCACACCGCCACTTTGCACTACTTAGGACTCGGGGACTTTCACCCCTCCACCCCAAACACTCCTTCAGATACTTCCCGTGGCAGGTGTAGGTGTGGAAGGCCACGGCATCGACCTCAGGAGATGACGGGCGGTGGTCTGCAGGTAATTATCGTCATCAGAAGGGAACTTATACAAGGAGACTTCTTGAAACCTAAACCCCCAAGCCTTCGTTGAGATCTGCCCCGAAACCCTAAACCCTAAACCCTAAGCCCAAAGCCTTAAGCCCTAATTAAACCCTAAACCCTAAACCCTAAACCCCTAAACCCCCCCTCCCCCCCCGCCTTGCAGCCACTGCAGGCACTGAAGAAGTCGCGCAGCCAGGCGATGGGGTCGTACTCCGCGAAGTTGACGGCCGGGGACACCTGGGCCCGGGCCCCTTTTGGGTTTAGGGGCCAAGGTTTTACCGGGAGGTTTGATGTTGTTGTTGTTGTTGTTGTTGTTGTTGTTGGGGGGGGGGGGGGGGGCAGGGCCTTCAGGGGTTAGAGAAGCAAGCTTAACCCGAAACCCTAAGACCTAAGGATCTTCTTGGCGTAGCGTAGGGACTCACTCCGCCACATCCCCTAGATGGCGCCTGTGCGCGAAATCCTGGTTTGAAGCTTAGGGGTAACTTCGCTATGGGTCCGGGCACTTCCTTCAAAAGAGAGGCAAGGTTCCTAAGCAAACCTTTTGCCTTCTTGATTGAAATCCAAGTATGTCCCAAATATTGTGAAGAATTCACTCCAAGACATGAAAAATCTTGATTCAACTGCAGTTGATGTATCAATATTCCAGTATGCGCGGCCTGTCCGGACCCTAAACCCTACACCCGAAACCATAATATGATGTTCAACATTAAGCCGAGCCCTCAACGAATGCCGCTGATCCGCGATCCCATGAACCTGAACACAGCTCAGCCCTAACCCACATGAATGCAAATCTGTGCGAACCCCAAAACAAGCACACCAGGAATAGAGAAATAAATCAATACCGATATTCCTATGTTCCTGCCATGTAACTGGTTAAACCCTAAACCCTGGACCCTAGACCCTACACCCTACACCCAACCCCTAAACCCTAAACCCCCTAAACCCTAGACCCTCGACCACCACCACCCCCAAAAAGAACCTCAGACCCTGAAGGGGCGAAACAGACCGTGACCTTTTGAAAAAACACGCATGCAACCCTAAAATCGTCAACAAAAACACGAAATTAGGGTTTAGGGTTAGGGTTGAGGGTTTAGGCTTAGGGTCCTGATAACAGAACCTCAAGCCCCAAAACGTCCGTGTAGAGTAAGCTCGACAAAAACAAACTTACAATTTGGGAAGCCCTCGGAATGCTTAAGATAAGTTTTAGGGGTCGGGGCCCAAAACCCACCCCCAGGTACCCCCCAGGTACCCGCGGAGTGGTCGTTCAGATAGTCTTAAGCATTCCAGGGCGTAGCTGTGCAGGTGGATTTGCTGTTGCATGACGTTTCGAGAAGCTTTAGTTGGGCAAAAAACGGCGATCGAGAAGCTCAGTTGGGCAAAACCGTCTCATAAACAGACAATGGAACATGTCCAGGAGGTAAGTTGCCTCTGAACTGGGGAAGCGTTCGGAACTGTTCGGGACTTGGGACAAGCATTGCAGGCACTTCGCGGTGCGGGGCAAGTCTGGGACCGTTCGAAAACCGTTCGGAACTGTTCGGAACCGTTCGGAACTGTTCGGGACTCGGGACAAGCATTCCAGGCCCTTCGTGGTGTGGGCAGGTCCAGGGACTGTTCGGAACCGTTCAACCGTTCGGACTTCGGGACAAGCATTCCAGGCCCTTCGGTGCTGGCACGTTCGGAACCGTTCGGAACCGTTCAAAACCGTTCATAACCGTTCCGAACCGTTCCTAACCGTTCGGAACCGTTCGGAACCGTTCCCAACTGTTCCCAACCGTTTGGAACCGTTCGGAACGGTTCGGAACCGTTCGGAACCGTTCGGAACCGCTCGGAACCGCTCGGAACCGTTCGGACCCGTTCGGAACGGAACCGTTCGGAACCGTTCGGAACCGTTCGGAACCGTTCGGAACCGTTCGGAACCGTTCGGAACCGTTCGGAACCGTTCGGACCCGTCCGGACCCTTCGGAACCGGTCGGAACCGTTCGGAACCGTTCGGAACCGTTCGGAACCGTTACCCAACCGTTACCCAACCGTTACCCAACCGTTGCCCAAACAGTCCGAAACCCGCCCACGCCACGAAGGGCCTGGAATGCTTGTCCCGAGTCCCAGTCTTCGGTATTCCTCTCCAAGCCCGACTATTTCTCTTCGACGCGCCCAAACGCATCTTTCTAGGGATTTGAACTCCGAATATTCCTGTCCAATGTTTCTCTCCCATGCCTCCTCGCAACTCATCTACCGCAACATTTTTTGGGATTTGTTCTCCGAAAATTCCTGTCCAATGCCCGAATATTTCTCCCAGATGCTTCCCCGGAATGCCGCTACCGGAAAATCGTGTTGCACCCTAAAGTCATTCAGTCTTAAGCATTCCGGGGGCTTGGCAACTTACAATCATCAGACTTCTTTGTACTTGCAGCAATGATATCACAACATCGCAGTAACCGTCATCATCATCTAGAAAAAGGCGACTAGGGGTAGTTGTACTTAGGCTTTAGGGTACCTAGGGTTTAGGGTTAAGGTTTACGACCACATGAATCATGTGAGACCCAGCTCTAGCTTGCCGCCCTGGTGCCAAGTAGTCGATGCTGGCGTTCTTCGCCAGCTCCTCTTACTGGCTGGGCTTAGGGTGTAGGGTGTAGGGTGTAGGGTGTAGGGTGTAGGGTGTAGGGTGTAGGGTGTAGGGTGTAGGGTGTAGGGTGTAGGGTGTAGGGTGTAGGGTGTAGGGTGTAGGGTGTTAGGGTGTAGGTGTAGGGTGTAGTGAGGGTGTAGGGTGTAGGGGTAGGGTGTAGGGTGTAGGGTGTAGGGTGTAGGGTGTAGGGTGGTAGGGGTAGGGGTATGGGTGTAGGGTGTAGGGTGTTGTAGGGTGTAGGGTGTAGGGTGTAGGGTGTAGGGTGTAGGGTGTAGGGTGTAGGGTGTAGGGTGTAGGGTGTAGGGTGTAGGGTGTAGGGTGTGGGTGTAGGGTGTAGGGTAGGTGTAGGGCGGGTTAGGGCTGTAGGGCTTAGGGCTTAGGGCTTAGCACTTAGCACTTAGCACTTAGCAGGCTTAGGGGGCTTGGGCGGCTTGGAAAACTTGGGGGCTTGGGTGGGGGGCTTGAGGGTGGGGGCTTGGGGCTTGGGGGGCTTGGGGGGATTGGGGGGCTTGGGGGGCTTGGGGGGCTTGGGGGGCTTGGGGGGCTTGGGGGGCTTGGGGGGCTTGGGGGGCTTGGGGGGCTTGGGGGGCTTGGGGGGCTTGGGGGGCTTGGGGGGCTTGGGGGGCTTGGGGGGCTTGGGGGGCTTGGGGGGCTTGGGGGGCTTGGGGTTGGGAGGCTTAGGGGCTTGGGGGGCTTGTAACGAGCCTTAATCAAGAAGGGCTACAAGTAGAGGCGAAACCCTAGACCCCCAAACCTTATACCCCTGAATCCTAAACCTCTAAACCTCTAAACTCCAAAACCCAAGCAAGGGGCTAAAGGTAACCTAACTCGACAGGTGATCCCTCTGGTTCTTTGTAGGGAATCAGGGAAATATGTACCTTATATCCCCTGCATACAGCCTTGGGGGATTCTAACCCTACACGCCAAGCCCTAAACCCTCAGCCCTAAGCCAAAACCCAAGATAAACCCCAAACCCTAAACCCTATGCCCTACCTAATACCTTCATTCCCTATCAAAGGCCCGAAAGTAAAGTCCTCGAGGGAAGGCCACAGCTCGGCGGCCCTTTGCGGAGAAAGGTTCGCCTGGAAAGTAGGGCTTAGGGTTTGGGGATTTAGGGGGTTTAGGGTGAGCGACGGACAAAATCACTTTAAAGAGCGTGAGGCCGCAGAATACCTTGTTATCGCTTTGCGTGGGGCCCATATCGCTTTACATGTGATGGGACTAGGGGGTCCGGGTGTCTGAATGCGAAAACTGATGTTATCGCTTTAGGTGGGGCCCATGTCGCTTTCCATGGATTTTTGATGTTCGCAACAACTCGTGTCCACCGTAGTACTGGCTTAGACCAACATAAATCTAGGCAGGCGCTCATTTGGGGATTTAGGGTTTGGGGTTTAGGTCCGGGCTCTCAAGCTTTTGGGACTCGTTTTGGGGTTTAGGGTCTAGAGTTTAGGGTTTAGGGTTTAGGGGTTAGGGGTTAGGAATGAGGGAAAAGGGGTTAGGGGTTAGGGGTTAGGGGTTAGGGGTTAGGGGTTAGGGGTTAGGGGTTAGGGGGGTTTGGGGTTTGGGGTTTGGGGGTTTGGGGGTTTTGGGGTTTGGGGGTTTGGGGTTTGGGGTTCGGACTCGCGTCAACTTCCCATCCAAACCACTCTTCTCATTTACTCAAGGCTTAGGGCCTAGGGAAACCCTAAAGCCCTAAAGCCTTGAAACACTCAAACCCCAAACCCTCAACCCCAAACCCTACACACCCTGAACCCTGTACTGTAAACCCTCAACCCGAGACCCTGAACCCTAAAACCCCAAAAGCCCTCAACCCTGTAAACCCCTTGAACCCCAAACCCCAAAAAAACCCTAAACCCTCAACCCTCAACCGGATAAACCCTCTGTCCTCAACCCTAATCAACCTTCAACCCTAAACCTTAAACCCTGAACCCTGAACCCTAAACCCTAAACCCGAAACCCCCCGCCTGCTCCGGGAAGTTGGGCTCGTTGAAGCCCAGCAGTGCCATCTTCTGCGCCGGCACGCCTGCGCTTGAGGGAGGCTCATGGGTACCAACCAAAAAGTCTGCTTGGGGTTTAGGGTTTAGGGTTTGGGGTTTAGGGTTTAGGATTTAGGGTTTAGGGTTTAGGGTTTAGGGTTTAGGGTTTAGGGTTTAGGGTTTAGGGTTTAGGGTTTAGGGTTTAGGGTTTAGGGTTTAGGGTTTACCCTACACCCCAAACCCTAAACCCTAAACCCAAAACCCTAAACCCTAAACCCTAAACCCCGGGCCCACCCTCTTCCAGAGCTCGGTCGAGGTGGTCAGCCCCCTGGCCCCAAACCATGGGCACGAAGTTCAGGCCATGGCGCGCCCACTCCTAGGGCGCTTTAGGGTTCAATGACAAGGGTTTAGGGTTTAGGGTTTAGGGTTAGGGTTTAGGGTTTAGGGTTTGGGGTTTAGGGTTTAGGGTTTAGGGTTTAGGGTTTAGGGTTTAGGGTTTAGGGTTTAGGGTTTAGGGTTTAGGGTTTAGGGTTTAGGGTTTAGGGCTTGGGGTTCAGGGCAAAACGAGGTTTAAGGGTTTAGGGCTTAAGGTCTAGGGTTTCGGGGTTTAGAGTTCTAAAATCCCAACGCGTAAGCGTCAAAGAAGGTGGTCCAAGACAAGATGTCGCCTGTAAGCCATTACAGGACCCGACAGCCTTTTAGGCTGTGGGGTTTAGGGTTTAGGGTTTAGGGTTTAGGGTTTAGGGTTTAGGGTTTAGGGTTTAGGGTTTAGGGTTTAGGGTTTAGGGTTTAGGGTTTAGGGATCCAGAATCCACGAAGACAGTTCTTGCGGAAACACTGAAAACCCGGGAAGCCTTGAAAGCCCAATACTAAACTATCAAGTAGCCCTCCATTATAAACAACTTTGGGCCCTAAACCCTAACCAGATACCAAACCCTAATTACTGGCCAAAATCCTGGACCCCGGACCCCCTAAAACCGCAAAACCCCCCAAAACCCTTAAACCCCCAAACCCTAAACCCCCAAACCCCAAACCCGAAACCCTAAACCCTAAACCCTCAAACCCAGAGCGTCCTCAAGCCCAGGACCGCTTTCCCAAGGTGGAGGAAGGTGGCGCCAGATGTAACCTGTGATTTAGGGCTTAGGGTTTAGGGTTTAGGGTTTGGGGTTTAGGGTTTGGGGTTTAGGGTTTAGGGTTTAGGGTTTAGGGTTTAGGGTTTAGGGATTAGGGTTTAGGAGGTGTAGGGGGCACGGCTTCTTGGGATGGCCTTGAAAACCCGTTGAAGAATATTCTTACATAAACCCAAGGGCCTACACAGCTTTCGGTTCAGAGAGGCCAGAAGGGAGCCCGGTGCAAATCCTAAATAAACCCTAAACCCTAAACCCGAAACCCGAAACCCTTAACCCTATACCAACCCTACACCCGAGACTAAAGCCTGTAGACTCCGAGAAGCCCCGAGGTCATAGAACCCGAAAACCCCGCCACGGTCCGGCTACACCATGAAGCCCCTGGACCGTTAAACGCCTAACTAAGGTAAGGATTCAAGATTTAGGATTTAGGGTTTCGGGCACAGGGTTAGTTTAGCGTTTAGGGTACGCCACGCCAAACTCCTCAAAAACAACACCCTGAGCCTGCAGAGAAAAACGAAACTTAAGGGGCTTCGGCCTGTAGGGAGAAACCCCAAACCCTCAAGCCAACAACCACAAACCCTTATCCCCATAAACCAGCCAACACCACCCCCAACCCTCAACCTTGCACCCAAACCTCCTAAACCTTAACCCTAAACCCTAGACCCCCCTCGAGTCGAAATTCCCTACGAGGGCTTGGGGTAGTTTAGGGTTTTGGGTTTAGAGTTTAGGGCTTAGGGCTTAGGGTTTAGGGTTTAGGGTTTAGGGTTTAGGGTTTAGGGTTTAGGGTTTAGGGTTTAGGGTTTAGGGTTTAGGGTTTAGGGTTTAGGGTTTAGGGTTTAGGGTTTACCAAACGAAAAGTTGCTAGGAAGACCCAGCGGCCCCAGTGCATGTTCTGGCTCAGCGTTGCCAGGCTTGCGGGGCTCAGGCGGAAGTTCTGCGTGGCGATGCCCCGCTTCCTGCAGTCCGAGGGCTCACACAACCTAAAACCCCAAGACCTGAAAGTCTGCAGGAAGGTTTAGGGTTCAGGGTTTAGGGTTTAGGGTTTAGGGTTTAGGGTTTAGGGTTTAGGGTTTAGGGTTTAGGGTTTAGGGTTATTCTTCTTGTTACCAGTGTGTCCCCTCAAAAGCACACCCCCCCGCCCCCAGATAGATACTCGAGGAGCCCCTAAGTGCACGAACCCAAACCTTGACTCTGAGGGTTCTACCTTGGACCTTGAAGGTTGTACTTGGAGGTTCATGGTACTTACTAACCACTTATAACTGTACTTATAACCCTACTTATAACCCCCCTAAAGGGCCTTACAGGGGTTATCCCAATTATAAGTAGGGTTATAAGCCCAGTTATAAGTGGTTATTAAGTCCCATGAACCTCCAAGTACCCTTGGTTTTGGGGGGTCCTTTTTAAGGATCCCTAAGGGTATATAAGGGCCATATTAGGAGTACATTAACGGGAACCTTTAGGGGTACAAACTTCGGTACAACCTTAGGGGTACGAGTCTTCATCCCTTGATTGGCATGAACTGCCCTTCACTAAATCCTAAACGTGGGATGTTCCCCCTTATACTAGCAGCCCTTAATTGGGATGATTGTACCCCCTATTATAACCCCTATTAAGGACTCTTACAGTATAAGGGGGAACATCACAACCCTAAACCCTAAGATCGGGGGCTCGCCGCCAGAAGCCCTGACTTCCAAAAAAAACAACACAAGGCCCCGGAAACCCAACAAGCAACAAGCAGCAAGCAGGGGAGAGTCACACACATGCCCACAAGGGCCCTAAACCCTAAACCCTGATACTTGTAGCCCTAATAGCCCTAAACCCTAAACCCGAAACCCCTCTAAGCCCTAAACCCTCTAAGACGCACCACAAGGGTCCGCGAGATGCGGAGGTCGCCAGGCTCCTTGTACTTGGGCCAGGGCCAGCCTGGATTGGGTCTAGGGTTTTGGGTTTAGGGTTTAGGGTTTAGGGCTTAGGGTTTAGGGTTTAGGACTATTAGGGTTTAGGGTTTAAGGTTCAGGGTTGAGGGTTTAGGGTTATGAAGGTTTAGGGTTCGGGGATTGGGCTTTGGGTTTGAGTGTTTGAATGACATTGCTTCCGGTTTTAAGTGTATGGTTAAGGGTGTGGCAGATACTTGAGGTTGACTTCGCGCAGACATTAACATCCCAGAAGCTGGTGTTTTGTAGGGCCTCCCATCCCATTATCCCAACTCCAAACCCTTAAACCCCATCAATCCAAAACCGAAGCCAGAAACCCGCAAAGACCTCTAAAAAGACCCTCAATGCACAACATAACATAATCAAACACACACGCACACACACACACACAAACAAACAAACACACACACACACACACACACACACACACACACACACACACATACGCATACGCATACACATACACACACACACACACCTCTTAAGCACGACAATCCTGAAACCCAAGCCCCAGATCTAAGGCTCGGGAGTTGCAAGACTTTGCCTAAACCCAATACATCCAAACCCACAACCCCAAACCCAAAGACCTCAACACCACCCCGCCCAAACAAAAAAAACTAAATAGATAGTAAATACATACAATAAAAATAAATGAACTTCAACCCTCGACCCTAACCCCAAACACTGAACCGCCCCTACTGGTTCCGAACAGGGCATGAGGGACGAAGGCACCCTAGAATCCCCGAGAGGTTATACAGGAGATTATAAGGTACTTGATTCCCCCAATTCCCTACGAAGAACCAGTAGGAACCCTGAAACCCCTGAAAACCCTGAAAACCCTGAACCCTAAACCCTAAACCCTAAATCCTGAACCCTAAACCCTAAACCCTACACCCTAAATCCTAAACCCTGAACCCTAAACCCTGAATCCTAAACCCTAAACCCTAAACCCTAAACCCTAAACCCTAAACCCTAAACCCTAAACCCTAAACCCTAAACCCCAATCCTGCGCCAGGCCACAGGGCTCACAGGCCGACCACTCGAGGCCCACCTTGGCCCGGGCCTCGATGTCGCTCATCCCAGAGCCCTTGTACCTGGGTTTTGGGGTTTAGGGTTTTCACAAGGGTCTAGGGCTCAGGGTTCAGGGTTTAGGGTTTTGGTTTGGGGTTTGGGGTTTGGGGTTTGGGGCTTGGGGTTTGGGGTTTGGGGTTTGGGGTTTGGGGTTTGGGGTTTGGGGTTTGGGGTTTAGGGGCCCGAGGGTCTGGGGTTTAGGGTTTGGGGTTTGGGGTTTAGGGTTCAGGGTTGAGGCCCGAGGGTCGTCTTCGTGCTCCCAGGGTTTCGGGGCTGCTGGGGTCTTAGGGTCGTAGCGGTGTAGTTTAGGGATTTCAGAGGGTTTGAGGCTTAGCGGGGTTTCGGGAAGTGCTGGGTCTTAGGGACCTTGAAAGGCTCTGGCTTACTTTTGTTGCTTTTTGGTAGGCTTGCCCTGGGCTTTCTTTCCTTCGGCTTTTTTTTGGCGGGGAGGCTTAGGGCTTGGGGCGTTTAGGGGTTTTGGGGTGCCCTGAAATCAGAAAATGTCTGCACAGTGGGAACTGCTGGGTTGCCACTCCACTCGCCCTCCACACGTAGAGGTGGACCATTGGTCGGCGGCCGCAGTCTCCCAGACGTCCTCACAAGTCGGGCCCGTCGCCGTAGGTGTGGTCGAGGTGGCCCCAGAGGGTGTGGTGGTGGCGACGGTTGTGGTCGCTGTGGTGGTTGTAGTTGTGGTCGTGGTGGTTGTGGTGGTGGTGGTGGTTGTGGTTGTGGTTGTAGTCGTGGTTGTGGTCGTGGTCGTGGTTGTGGTTGTAGTCGTGGTTGTAGTTGTGGTTGTGGTTGTGGTCGTCGGGCTTGGGCACGGCATGTCTGAACAGGAGGCGGTGTTGGCCATAGTTAGGAAGGCCTGGAAGTCTTCGAAGCTGGAGGAGGGGGTGAGGCCAGGATACCACTCCTGGGCAGATCTCAAAGAATTCTGGGATGATGCTTCGCCTAAGAACCGGGGCATCCATCAAAATTTGGGACGGTTTAGGTTTGTAGCTGAGGCTTAGGATGTTGCGGTTTCCTACGGCAACCCAGGTACCGGCTTCCAATTGATGCCTTCCGTCATGGCCCAGGTGACGTCGGCGTAGCATGGCTCGCCAGGCTGGGCCGTGCGGCAGACGCAGGGCAAGGTGTCGCAGTGGCGGTTCAGCGGCTTGCGGGTCACGCGGTGGCACTGGTAGCCGCTGAGCACGGAGAAGGCGTCCACGGTGCGGTTCCAGAGCTCGCACCGGCCCTTGACGTGAAACTCGACTCCGGTGCAGAGGGGCGCCGCCAGGCACTTTGCCTGGCAGTCGCCGAGCGACGACGCCCGGCTGACTTCGAAGTAGGAGGCCTTGTTGTCCCCCCTGCTTGCGCCACGGCAGACCCGGTCGACGGCCCCATCCACCGGCTCGAAATCCCAGAAGCTGTTGGATGGCTCAACCAATCGATGGCACTGGAAGTTCCTCAGTGACAGGGTGGCTTCCACCTCGCGCAGCCAGAGCTCGCAGCGGTTCCCGGAAAACTCCACGGCCTTGCACCCCGAAGACCTCTGGCACCGCTCCTGGCACGCTTGGAGGTCCCCGGCACTGACGACGCGGTAGTGGGCTGGGTTGTTGTCGCTCGTGGAGCGGCCCCTACAAACCCTGTCCAGCCCACCATCCGCAGGATCCCAGGACACCGCCCCAGCCGGGCCCATCTCGAAGAAGTAGGTCTGGATCTCCTCAAAGGAGGCCGACTCCATCTCCGCCGGCAGCCCGGAGTCGGCACTTGGCCCGTTTTGCGCCGCCAGAACCGCCTCGTAGCAGGCCTCCCCAGGCAGAGCCGTGCGGCAGGTGCTGCTGAGGTGGGCCTTCATCTGCTTCTTGCGCAGCTGAACAAACATAACGTCCCTCGCGCTGCGGGGCCCGCACGTGTCTTTGGTGCAGACCTCCTTGGCGAACACAAAACGGGCGATCAACACGAAGGTGAACGCCCTCATGCGTGCAAGCGAATTCTGAATTTCCTGAACATACACAATTCAGTATCGCAAAAGAAGCCTCAACTATGCTGGAAGTTTGAGCCACATTGAAACATGCACAGCATGTAGTTCCCGAACCGTGAAACACTTTTGGGATGGGCTTTCAGGTGAGAACCGTTTAGGGCCTGCAAGGCATTCCCCAAAACAGCAAAACAGGAGATCCTAGACCTGAACGCCCCCGTCCCTGAAAATACTCCAGAAACCTCCAGCCCCCCCCCCCCCCTAAAACTGGAAACATGCAAGAGAGGGGACCGGCGCAGTTTCTCCCACCATGTAGTCCAGTATGCTACAGCAAAGCCCGTGCTGGAGGAGGCGGGGCATTGTTTCGAGTAGATTCTTCTAGAGGCAGAAGTGTCATGACAGCATCTACCGACAAGTCGCCCAAGGCTCCGAAACCCAAAACCCTAAAGGCTCTAAACCCTGAACCGCACAGCTGTGAAGCGAGCCTTATGGAGTTCTGCACCCAGCCCGAAGCATACAAAAAAACGAGAGCAACAAGCACAAACTGGGAAGAAGTCCGAACAAGAAAGCATTGCCCCTAGCCACATCAGGCAAATTGGATTTGAGAATGCACTGCATGAACATGGCCACTCTTTAAAACTGCAAGTTCACAGGCTACCCCCTAATACGATTTGGGAGTTTACGAAAGTAAGGGACCCCATTTCACGAGGCCAGCAATCAGCTGGAGTTAAGGGCTTAGGGTTTCGGGATTAGAGTTTACGGTTTCGGGTGCTGAAAGGCGTTTGCTAGCCAAATCAAGGACATCGGCATCGAACGAAAAGCACTTCGACTTCAACACCTTGCAAAAAAAAAACATGCACAAAGATCAGGAACCCTAAACACTGAACACATTAGAACCATATAGTTTGGGTGGCCGGGGTGGCTTCATGAGCAATACAAGCACGCTATCTAGGGTGTTTACTGTTTCACAGCTAAGCACACTGCCTCGCCTGACAAGCCCTCAACACTAACGTCCCTAAACCCCTGAACCCTACCCCGGTCAATCAAAAGCTTCCCACACTGGGCCTGGGCCATCTTGCTTGCATCATCCTACGAAGCACTACCATTTCTCAGCAGCACGCGGGAGGCGAAGTGCTGTATGGACGCTGCCGGACAAAAGTTCCCGCCTGGACTCTGGGTCCTCAAGCAAGAACCCTTGCACTCAACCCTAAACTCTAAACCCTAAGCCCTAAACCCTAAACCCTAAACCCTAAGCCCTAAACCCCGAAACCATGCCAGCGGACCTGGCCTGCAGCGGGGCTCACAACCATGCCCCGCTGCGTCACCCACCTCCCAAACGAGGCGCCGAAGCGACCAGCGAGGTGTCTGCGGGCAGAAGGGCCCATACGAAAACTCTGCATGAAGTCACGAAACCACTCTCCGTGATCCCAGTAGAACCCCTCGAGTCCCCTACCTTAGGACGAAGCTCCTTGGGGAGAATCCTTTTACCTTCTGAGCCCTTGCGGGTTGGCGCAGCGTGGCTCCAAAACATAAGGACACATTTTTGATTACAAGGGCAATATAGGGATTAGTGTTTGTTAGTTTTCGGTGGTTCTTAAACAATCAATCCTACGCCCCGCAAGACCGCCAAAAAGGGCCCACAGGGGCGGTATGGCAGACGACTCAGAGGAACCTCTGCACGTCGGGAAAGCTCTGCTTGTCAGAGCTTCATGGGTTTAGGGTTTAGGGTTTAGGGTTTAGGGTTTAGGGTTTAGGGTTTAGGGTTTAGGGTTTAGGGTTCCGGGTTTAGGGAGCTTTGGCAGGGCAGCCCCCTGTCATAGGCGAACGTCCCCTTCCCCCGCAGTAGCGTGCATCAACCGCTTCAGGCTGCGGAGTTGGCACAGGCGAGGGCTGGCACTTCGGCCTGAGAGGCAAAGCGAGCGCAGCGTAAAAGAGCGGTGGTGGGCCTACTTAAGACCTGCCAACGGCGGTGCGGATTCTAAGAGGTGCCGGGCCTAAGGAGCCTTTACGGCACCATCCAGCACAAAGCTGGCAGTCCCAGGAGATTATGAAGGCAAGGTTTGCGCCTTGAAGGTCAGCCACGCTCTTTGCTACATTCCGGCAAAGACTGACGGTCAAAAAAGACACTTCTGAGTGGCATAAGGCTTGTTATACATCAGGGTTGGCCAAGATACCATGCTCTTGAAGACATTGAAGACTACCCAACTTCGGTGCAGCCGTGGCCGTGCTGTCTTCTTTACCGGCCAAAGTAACATGCACCTTGCACTCTGACCAGTGCAACTGCGGCAGGGGCATACACGAGACATGCTCATGCTGCCTTGCGCACAACCCAACGCAAGTGCCTTCGAACTTCTTTCGCTACCACAAACAGTGGGCATCTTTACACTATCCCTGCCATGATTTTGCCTGTAGGCATCTGTAGGCCAAAGCTGACAGCCCCACGTGGCATGAGCCAAGGGCACAAGCCAGCTGGTCCACTGAGCCTGGCAGTTCTCATCTTTGCAACACCCTTGGGAATGTCCATTTCAAGTCAACGTCTTAGCAAGTGCGGGAAATTGGTGCGCCTTGCTGGAATTCCACTAGAGGAGGAATATTCGGAAATTGCGGGAAACTCTGTCACTCTGCAGCCAACGTCTCCGAAGCATTGTTTGGCGAGAGTCTAGGTCTCATGCTCTGACGATTGCAGGCCGGGATAGCAGCATTTCCCCATCGATGCGACCTTTGCAGCAGCGCGATCGAAAGCTGCTGAAGTGGAGGCCGAGATGATTCAAGCATCACAGCCTTCTTAGCTTCACAGCTGCCTCGGCCACACGCAAGACGAAGACTGACGCGAGCAAAGACACTCTCACCCCAAAGGCCGGAGAGCCATTGCAAGCTAACGTAACATAATCAGCGGGGGGGCCCACGGCCCAGCGCCCGAAAAGGCTGAAACAGACAATGTTGAGGCTCAGGGGCCTGGAGGGCCGGGCGACAGGCTCTCACCTCAGCTTTCTGGCAGAAAGCTTCCTGCAAGCCGGGGAAAAAGCATGCTGTGGAATTCGCCCCTTCCACGGGAAGGAGTCTAGAATCTAGATGGTGGTGGTGGCCTTTCTCGCATGACGTGAGCCCTCACGCTGGCAGCCAGCCACGTCTGCGCGTGGGGCATTTGAGCAGTCTGCTCAGGGCACTGGGCCCGACGAGCTCCGAATGACAACAGGCACCAAGGCCACTTCACCGTCCTCGTTCGCGTCCCTTTCGCGGCACTTCTGCACACCTTTCGGGCTTTGCACCGGCGGCTGCCCCCGAAGGCTAGTAAACCGCCGGAAGGCTGATACATGCTGATACTAGTTCTATGTATCCTGTCGCCTGCCTTCTGCATATCTGTAGCACATCTCTCGGCGCTACAAGGAGAAGCCTTTGTTCGGCTCTCCCTCTCTCGCGACTTCCCACAACACCACGTCTTGGGTCAGGCACCTTCCTCCGCGGCCGAACACCAACACGCCGCATCCTGCACAGTGACCTGCAGCTGCCACCGCAGTACACACAGCTGCCTGCCACCCTCAACTCCTCAGTAGATGGGCTGGGGGCAAGGCTAAGAGGACGCGCCCGAAAGCTCACAACGGCTGCCTGCTGCTTGGGGGAGATCGGCAACGTCGGACTCTGAGGCGTTCTGGCGAGGTACTTCTTACGGCAGTTCGCGAAGCACGAGTGGCCCCGTATTTGGGACCCTAAACCCTAAACCCTAAACCCTGAAGGGGCTCAGCATGGCGCCTCCTGCAAGACCTCACCGTCGGCCCTGCAGCTTGGATCTAAAGGCAACACACCGCATGCCCAGAAGCTGGCCGGCAAAGGCTCCTGGCACGCATCTGCCATTCAAGCAGCAGTGCACGGGCGGGGCGAAAACCAGACTCTCCAGAAAGGCTCTGCCTATAGATTCGATTTGACGTTGCAGGGGCGGGGGCGGGTTGTCACTTTCAAGATGGGGCCCTGGTTGCGGCGCCCAAACGCCACTTATGCCTTTGCGCCCGCCAAGAGTACATTTTCATGTCTTGCAAGAGAAGGCCCCCTGCAAGCTCATGTCTCCGCCAGAGGAGCTTTGAAGGCCTTAGAGGCCAGCGCTTGACAGAGAATCTCAGGCAAGTAAGGCAGGTGGAGCGGGCCCACAGGATGGAATCTTGCGGTTTGGCGCTGGGGGATTTGGGGTTTAAGGAACTAGCACCCTAAGAAGCTGAAATCTGGCCAAACTTGCAGCCCTTAAACCCTAGACCTCTTACCTGAAGCCGAGATCTAGAGAGGCTTAGGGTTTCTAGGTTTAGGGTTTGGGGTTTAGGGTTTAGTGTTTAGGATAAACCTTTGAACCCTCCAAGCGGCAGCCTCGACCAGACGCAACCGGAGGCATCCTTTGTCAGGAGCGCCACGAGTTTGAGAAGCCTTTCCATTTCAAGCGCTTGCCTGAGACCCTAAACTCTAAACCTTGGCAGAAGAAGCTCGGGAGGATGAGGCTCCAACTGGGAGGCCCGCGGCTCACCTTGGCCGTCCTTCGTCCTTGCTCAAGGCCCCAAAACACGAGAGCCCCAAGAGACACACCCAGAGGCAAAGTGGGTCAGATGCTACCTCCATGTTTCGGCCTACCCCACAAGGGGCTTGAATGCATCCTTCACGAGCGGGGCACGCGGAATGCTCCAAACCAGGGTCCCTTGTTGAAGGGCCCCTAGAAGAGCAACTTCTCCGCCTGCTTCTCCTCAGACTGTCGTTTCGGCAGGCCCAGCAGAAGCGGCGTTGTCAGGAGTGAACTTCTGTCTTGGAGGGGGGGACCAAACTTTCAAACGAGAAGACAGGCAACCTAGCATCTTCAGCAACTCGGCTCATCTTCGGAACATGCCGATGGCTGCTGTGACCAGCGCTCCCAGCCGGAGAAAAAACATCAATGAGAGAGCCTGCCCAGGAAGCTCCCCTCTGCCCCTCTTTTCACCCAAGGACACGTTCCCAGGAAGCTCCCAGAAGCCTGCGCTCATTGTGCTCGCAACGGCCACCTTGACAGCAGCTTGGGGCAGCCGCGAGACGCCGTCTGCAAACGTGGGACCGGCAACATCGCAGGGCTCAGGGTCCCTGGGCATAGGGTTCGGACAGCCTTTCGATTCGGATGTCTCCTCATCTGGGCAGGGGAACCATCCAACCGCCATGTTGGGTAGCAGCAAACCCCCTTCAAGACTCAGATTCTGCGAAGTCTCACCGAGACGTCCTGTCACGCTTGGGCCCCTATGTCATGCACTTTAGCATCGTTGCCGCAATTTCTACCGCGAAAATAGCCAGCTTTCGCGAATCGGCGTCCCGGCACGGGATTTGGTTGCCACATCTTGGACCACTCGGGGGCCCCAATCTCCCGCACGTTCCTCTGGCCATGTGATCTAAGCAGAGTCGGAACAGCATCTCCAGCCACCGCGGCAGATTCTCAAGATCGCAGGCGACGGTCTCAAACGGCGACCGGTCATGGTACCACGGCGCCAGGTTCTAGGGCTTGGGGAGGGGTCTTGCGCTGAGGCTGCAGTGCTGGAGGTCATGAGCCTCGAAGCACAAGAATGCAGGGCGCCCGACTTCTCCTCTCAGGGGTGTTGCTTCCCCACGTTGAACTGTCCAGGCGGCCTGGCGCCTCGTGGCATTGAGGGCTTGAAGGCTCAGTTGCCCCGTTGCGCCTGTGTGCGCGCAGGTCGACATCTTGAGGGCCTTACAGCAATGCTGTGGTTGGCCAGGCATCGATGAGGTACGAATCGGAGCAAGAGTCAGAATCGAAACCCCGAGGTGCCGCCAGGGACGGAAGAAGGGACGTTGCAGATTGTTGCTCCTGCCCTCAACCTAGGAGGCCCGGAACCCGAAACCCCCAAGAACCCAGGCCCCGGGCCCAAACGCCCTCTTTGTTCGGAGAGGTGAGAAGCTGCGTGCTGCACCCGGCTCAGAGCTCGGCCTCGCAGCAGCCAGCGCACCTTAAGAAAGGCCCACCGAGCCTAGGGCCTAGGGGCCTAGGGTCCATCTCTTTGGGTTCTTAGGGTTTCGGGTTTAGGGCCTGAGGGTTCTTTGGCCAGCTTGGGGGTGTAGGGTTCGAGGGTCTGGGGCTTAGGGGAGGTTTCTCAAGGCAAAGGCCACATTTTTGGAGGCCCCACTCACAGCTTCGCTAGCCCTTCTGGCCCTTCTCTTTGCCCCCGCCCCTCCCTCTAGCTCCGTTGTGGGCACCCCAGCTTTCTCAGAGGGTGGCTGCCATGAACCCCATACCTGAGCAGGGTCCGTTGATGCCAGGGCTGAACCTGAAGGCCTGGGAAACAACGTACCTGCCATCGTGCAGGCACAGAAGGCACACAGGCAAGGCTCTACGGCAAGCCGGGTGTTTGCTTAAAGGCTTCCTGCAGATGTGTGACAGTAGAGCCGGGCAGTTGCTACACCTGGCAGCAGAATGGGGACGGACCACCAGCACGTGCACAGCTGGCACAGGAGCACGGCAGTCCCTAAACCCCAAACCCTTAACCCTGAACCTTCCGCATGAGAGAGACTTCTTGCCGCTGCCCCACGGCGCAAGACCCAGCTTCCACAACATGCGCTCCAGGAAGCTGCTCCCCATTACGCGTGCCTCGTTAGTAAGCAGCGCCCGATGGGCCAGCAAATGACATCTTCAGCCATGTCTGTTCATCTTTGAGCTAAGATGGCCCGTTAAGAAGCCTTGTAGTCTCACGATTTGTGTCGGCAGTCTTCTGGAAAACCCTCAGCTATTTCGGCTGGTGGCAGGAACTCGGACAATGCATCCTGGGAGAGCATGAAGCAGACCGTCAAAGGCGCTGCCTTATGACGCGTTGTCCCAGAACGGACGCGGCCGACAACGCTGTCTCCATCTCCGCAATCCAGCACCTTGTGAGGAAAGACTTCAACCACCGCTTTCGTAGTGTACCCAAAGGCGACCTTGGACGAACCCTGCGAGCCCAAAACTTCCAAATCGAACCTCGGCGAAGGGGGGCGACTTCGACGAAGGAAAGACAAGGGCTTCCGAAGCTGCGCTTGTCAGGCTTGATGTTTTTCACTTCCCGCCTCTCAATGTCATCCCCCAGAAACTTTAGTTTTTTGACGAACCTTGACCCGGACTTAGAAACGAACTCTTTGTCCAAGCTTCGCGCTACCGTGGCCACCCAGCAAGGTCGCAGCAAGAGCTTCCACACGAGCTTAAGTGACGTCTCAAGCAGTCGGAGCAGGCGGCTGCGCTGGGGGCCCCCTAGCACGCGGCAAGCTCTACAAGCAAGCTGCCACTCGGAAGTGGCGCAGCCGCGCACACATCCGCTGCCTACCGGTAGGTGGCTCGATCGGATCCGAGCTTCGGTGCAATCCACCGGTCCAGGAACTCATGCACACAACAAGCCCAACAGGTTTCAGGTTTCAGCCCCCATTCAGACGGAGCACATGCTGCCCTTAGCAGCAGAGGCTCATCTACAACACACGCGGGTGCCTTCAAGGTCTTGTCTTCTTCTTGCCAGCGTTCGCTGAAGCTACACCAATGACACGGGCTTGCCGGTGTGGCGAGACTCACGAGACTGCTTGCCGTAACAGCGGGACGTCGGACTCGGTCCTCACACAAGGGCACTGCCTGGGGCGCGCTTCTGCAAGATGCACGGAGATGGCATCGCGACTCTTGCGGCTCTGACAGGGACAACATCTACTGACCACTTAGGGCGACGGACCCTGCCAGGGCTGGCAGCCAAGGTTTCATGCTTCAACAAAGCGAGACCCCTGCCAGACAAACGCCATGAACAGCAGCAACGAGGCCAGGCCACATGCTACGAATCGGATGCATCCATGATTGGCATGCGACGGTGTTGCGATGAACTTGGTTTTATGCAGCAGAAGTCCTGCTGCCAAGAATGAGGGCAAAATCGCGACGCAACTACTGTGTCACGCTCGCATGCCAGGAAAACCCTTGCAAAGCTTCGTGCAAAACAGCCCGAAAAGGAATCACTGACCAACGTGGATGACCTTGCCATGTGTGCAACAGGTGATCATGCTAACATGTTGTGTGTCAAGGGAAGAGCACACAACCCAGCTCAGGCAACGTATAGGCCGCGGTACTGGTACACACACATGGCATGCCAGGCCTTTACTCAAAGGTTCATCAGCACAAGCCTGGAAGCAAGCAGCCACCGACGCCACCGACGTACGACGGCGAAGCCGGGTGCCTGCACCACTTGGCAGTAGAGCGAAGCATCAACTGACAGGGGGGGCCAGCAGCATGTATGCAGCTTGCAGAGCATGCTAGCATGGCACTGAGAAAGGGCAGTCTGGGAAGGCAAACTCCCTCACGTAGCTTCTGGGTCGGACACCTCGGAGCAACAGCAGCTCCAGCACGGCCATCGTATGGCGCGTTCAGCCGGCTAGTGCGCCCATTGCACATGCACAGTTTGAGCCGTGACTCGCCAGTTCTGCTTACCTATGCCCTGAAGTCTCGGTTCATTTAGCGGCCAGGGCTCAAACTTTGGAAGTGCTGAGGCGAATCCAAACTCTCTGTTCGCGGTCAGTACATCCTGGGAGGGCATGGAACACCTGGGGCTCTATTTCCCTCCTGTGTTTCCGAAAAAAGGGGTACCCTTTAGGGCGGCTCCTATGATAAGGATATACCGTTTTGGGGTCCAATAAGGGCAACCCTATTGGGGGAAATACCCATTTCGGCTAGCTTGTTATCATTGCAATGAAACTTGCTGTCACGGTGATTGTCTTGACGGTTGGATGAAGGCACACACTGCCAGCCAACCCCGAGTGCCCTTACGTCAAGGCCCTGCAACACGTGAGCGTTCAGAGATGGAAACGAAGCTAGAGCACCACAACGGAAAGGGCTGCGTTAGGCGCACGCTCTCAACGTGGGCCGATTGCACAGTGCCACAAATAAGGGCCTGACCGAGCAGATGCAGAAGTGGACGTAGAATGGACTGAAACTAAGGCCAGGGACATTTGCTGATTCCACCGCCATGCCTAGGCTTAGTGACGAGCTGCAGCCGCCCTCACTACGTGTGCATGGGCAGTCTGCAAGAAAAAGAGACGTTACAGCACTCTCCAGAAGTGCCCTGCCCCAGTACGCACACACATGGACGCATGGCCCACAAGCCTGCAGCTGCGCGTGCGCGAACACCCTGCTAGTGGCTTTGTTCCTGGGTGCGGGTTAGCATCTCGCTTTGGTCAGTCGATCGGGTAGAAGCCGACCGCATGGGCATTCAGATGAAGCAGCCAGTCGGGATGTGAACCTGCCTGCCACGCACTTTTCATCACGGACAAGATCGGCCTCCAAGGCACGCGTAACGTCCCTAGGTCCCTAAGCTTGCGCCTCCTTAGGCAAGGCCTGGCTACCGGAGGGCTGGGGCTGTCTCACTTGTTTGGTACTTGGGCTGTCAGAGGTGCAGAATGCACCTGGCCACGCACAGGGCGCGTAGTCACATTGCCAGCCACGAGCGTAGGACACTGGGACATGGCCCCAAACGATGCCCTCTTCATGGGAGCACCGCCCTCAAAGCCTGCGCGGTGGCATCCAAGCGCTCAGTCCCCTTAACTGGAGGCCGGCTGCGTGGGCTCTCACACGAACAACAGGATGCAGCAACAGGTCATCGCGTCTGGAGAGAGTCTCCGAGGCACTGCGATGCGCGAGGCCATGTGATTGCTAGAAACAGCGTCTAGGCCGTGGCATCTGAAGCGCACGCTTCGGGGGGGAAATGTGGCCGACGTCACTGGAGCTGGCAGACCCCTGGAAACGAGCGGCAGCACTGATGAGCGGAAGAGAAGTGGCGCACATGAAGTGCAAAGCATCCAGCAGCCCGAGTGAATAGCACACGCGTCCCACCGCCCCACGAACATTTCGGCAGAATAAGAGCCGGTGACGCCACCAAGCGCCGTGAGCGGGAGGTGGCAAAGGGTCACCAGGAGTCGCAGCAGCCAATGACAGCAGCAGGCACGAGCGACAAGGCCATGGAAAGAAGCAGGGGAGACCAGCCTCGCGCATCGGCCTTCTGCCAGGACCCAGCGTCTGCTTCTCCGTCACGGGTCATCCTGCCATCTTGGCATTTGCAGCCGAGTGACGGACAAGATAGGCATCCGAGGCACCGTCAACGTCCTCGCTAAGTGGACGGGGCAGTGGCTGGTTTCCAGTGTCTCGATTGTCTGGCTGATGCAGCAATGACACGGCTCAACAGGCCTTGCCGGTATCACGAGGCTCACGAGACTGCTTGCCGTAGCAGCGGGACATCGGAGTCGGTCCTCAATGTCCTCACACAAGGGCACTGCCTGGCGCGCTTCTGCAAGATGCGCGGAGATGGCATCGCGACTCTTGAGGCTCTGACAGGGACAACATCTACTGACCACTTAGGGCGACGGACCCTGCCAGGGCTGGCAGCCAAGGTTTCATGCTTCAACAAAGCGAGACCGCGAGACCCCTGCCACACAAACGCCATGAACAGCAGCAAAGAGGCCAGGCCACATGCTACGAATCGGATGCATCCATGATTGGCATGCGACGGTGTTGCGATGAACTTGGTTTCATGCAGCAGGAGCCACTATGGAAGACCTTTGCAAGCACCGACGCAATGAGCGAGAGATGCTGAGGTCGCATGTCAAAGATAGCAGATCGCTGCAAGATGGCCCCAAAAACGCCATCGGCCATGCTCCACAGTTACTTGCGAACATCAGGAAAGCTAGTCTTGTCCTGAGTCTAGTCTCCCACTGAGAGGCCTGCAGGCGCGTGGACGGGAGAAGGGCCCCTGCCTGTTTCCAAATGCTCACCACCCGCAATCACTAGACTGGAACAACCCACCTTCTCTTTCCGCCCCCTCAAAGGAATTTCAAGGAACATTGCGGATGCATACAACTTTCGGGAAAGTGGCGGGCATGCATCGTCCTGGCCTCTTCCTCCCATATGAGCCTTAGACAACAGATTCGAACCCAATTAAGTCACAGCAAAATCAGACCGTCAGAAGCAGGGCCCTTTCCCCCGACCCCCGGCTGATTCAAATAAACCAACAGCTACCGGGAGGGTTTTTCGCAACAAAAAATGCGTCCAACAGCAGTTCAGATTTCAGGGCTCAAGGGTTTAAGGGTTGGAGGGCTCAGGACCACGTTCCGCATCTCACACCTGGAAGCAAGTGAGCCGCAGACGCAAGTATGGCCGAACAGGGCACAAGTCGCTGCAAGGGTACTTGCTCGGCATCATCCGCAAACTGCCCAATCAAAGCCAGGGAGTTGTCTGAAAGTGCACCAACAGCTAACACCCCTGTGCCCAGAGTGACGACGCTGCCCGACATAGGTAGAAGAAGAAATCGTGACGCACGGACCCTGGCCCAACGCCCCGTCTTAACTTCTTTAGCGCCTTTGCGCCCGAAGCCTGCTGCCGGTGCCCACTGGCCCAACCCCCCCCCCCGCATTCCCTGCACCGATGCCAGGCAAGGGCAAACAATGTGCCACACAGCAGGAAGCAAAAACGCTGCCAGCAGAGGGCCGTCGAAGGACATGTTCAGCTAAGTGTTGTACCTGTCGCCCATGCACATTCAGAGCTGCGAGGAGAATGCTCAGCTGCTGTCACAGGCGTCAACGGCGTCATGCCAACTCACACCAGGCGGGTGATCTTCGAGAAGGACAGCGCTTGCTCTTCCAGCTTAGAGCCCTGTTTGGAACTGGACATCCATCATGTCGGCACCTGTTTGACTGAGGTCGCAACCAATCATTCAGCACCTAGAGAGGTCGGTGGAAGCCCGAAATGGCATGATACAACTTCGTGCTGCTCAACCAACATGCGCGGCACATTGGGGTGAGCCCACTACTGCTGCTGAAATGTGCAAGTGCAGGCTTCCGTATACACAGCCACATCATGCAGCAGATGCGAACATGTTCCAGTGTGAACCCGATGAAGTGCGGAAACTTGGGTTCACACCTCAAGCCCCAAGAGGCGAAAGATGACATGACCCGACGCCAGGCCGAGCGGGAAGATAGGGGCGTAAAACCGGGGAGGAGGTCTTCAGGCCTTGCGGCCCGCGTGAAAAGGCCGATTTGAACGCGGCACCCTCATCCATCCGGGCATGCCCGGTTTAGGGTTTAGGGTTTAGGGTTTAGGGTTTAGGGTTTAGGGTTTAGGGTTTAGGGTTTAGGGTTTAGGGTTTAGGGTTTAGGGTTTAGGGTTTAGAGCGCTTAGCCGGGCGTGGGAGCTTCCGTGCATTGGGGGCCCTGGATACGGACTCCTGCTGATACGGTTCATGTTACATGGAGACACGCTACGTGCATTTGTGAAACACAACACTTGTCGCACAGCATTAACAAGCCCGGCGATGTTCGCTCTACACGCTGAGAGCTATTGCTGAAATCGCACGCCTGCTGAAACAACATTTCTGGCACATTGACGCAAGTGCAAAGGCGCGGGGTTCTTCAAATGCACCCACATCGTCCAACGGATACGAACATGCTGCAGTTCTGGCGTGTACCCTTCGATGAAGTGAGGCGGTGGGGGTTCACAGTTCACCTCAAAAAGGCGAAAGACGCCATGACCCGATGAACGATGGAGTGGGACGATGTCAGCTTAAACCAGGGGTCTTCTAGCCAAAGCTGAGAATCCCTAGAGCCGATGTAGTAAGGACTCTCCGGGATTCCTCCGTCTGGCATGCCCGGCAGGCGCTCTGCACGATTGCCTGGTGCTTACGTGCAGCTCCGGAATGCGACACTTCTTGCAAAACCAAGCGAAAGAAACAGGGCGGTGTCCGCCCAACCTGCTCAACGGCGTTCATTGACGCTGGTGCCTGAATGTGCAGCAAACCTCAACGGCAACCAGCACGTGAGCGGAAGCCACGCGCCAAACCTGAGAGAGAACGGAACTCACTGGTGAGCAGTGCAATCGAGTTCCTGGCCCTTGGCAACAAGCTGAGTGCCTTGAGCCGCGCAAGATGCGCGAGAGTCAGTTTCCACCTTCACGGCTGATGGCGGCAGCTGCGTAACTTAATCCTGCCTGACGTTTGCCTTCCGTGGGATTTCCCTTCGGTGTGAGATTTCCCGAGGTTCTGCAAACCCAGGAAAAGCGAAGGGTGGCGGCCAGAGGCGGGCAAGAGACAGCTCGGGCGTACAGTAGAAGCTCGCCACAAGACATGCTATGCCTTAGTTGTCCAGTAACCTGGGGGAATTCAAGGTTAACCTTTGGGATTATAAGGGGATTAGACTACCCCAAAAAGGTTAAAGGTTACCTACTCTACTACTAGGATGCCCGATGTCTTCACTCACAGTGCCTAGAACCAAGCAGTCGAAGAGGCATCTTGAGTTGAGCTCAGTTGGGTTGAAGCGGCCACCACCAGGCACACCTGCTTTAGGGTTTAGGGTTTAGGGTTTAGGGTTTAGGGTTTAGGGTTTAGGGTTTAGGGTCACAAGCGTGGTTCATCAGACTGAGCACAAGGTCTTCAGTGTTATGGTTTAGGATTCGATCGTCCGTCTGATTACAGGGTTGCAGCAACAAACTCAAAAATCCTCTGAGCCTTAAACTTAAAGCCTACACCCCCACAACCCTCTAGCCTGAAAAACCCCAAACCTGAACACCCTGAGGTGTGAACCCTACACTCCAAGACCCGAAGCCCTACGAGTAGAGCCTTAGAGCGCAATCCTAGGCTTTGGGTTTAGGTTTTAGGGTTTAGGGTTTAGGGTGTTTAGGGTTTCGGGTTTAGGGTTTAGGGTTTTGGGTCTAGGGCTCAGGGGTAAAACCCCCCCAAACCCGAAAATCACCCCCCCAAGCCACGGGATGCAGGCTTGGCGCCGATCAAGGATGGAGCCCAGCAAGCAAAGGCCGCAGGGCTCGCCATGCAATGGGCCGCCCAGGGGCATGGTGCAGGGTTCAGGGTTTAGGGTTTAGGGTTTAGGGTTTAGGGTTTAGGGTTTAGGGTTTAGGGTTTAGGGTTTAGGGTTTAGGGTTTAGGGTTTTGGGCTTGGTGTTTAGGGCCGTGCGCGTGTGCATGCGTGCACTTGTCTTTGGGCAACCAGAAATCAATCTCGACTCCTATCCCGGCTAGATGCCCCACTTGAATGCACGCACCTCAGACGCATGTGCCTGCTGTATTCCCAGACTTGACGTGCGAAAGCATTGAAAACAGGAAACATTCGGGAATGAGCAAGGGAAATCCTATTTTCATACGACAAGCCTCTTGGCCACAATGACAGAATCAAAAGCTAATGACTTGCAGAACGCCTACATCTAGACATCTTTAGGATTTCTCGGGCACGCTGCACCGTCTGTCGATTTCAAAGACTTAAACGCCAAGCTGCTGCCACTTCCTGCACAGCTGGGCAGCTTCCATGGCTACGACGCACGGGGCTCCCAAGCCGGGTGGATTGTCATCAGCTCCAGCCAAGGAGGGCGTCAGGAATTAAAAGCGTACTTGGAAGCCAGCTGCCTTGCAGATATCTACTGCAATCGAAACTGACCATCGCAAATCCCATGCATTTAGCACCTGTCGGCGCAGTGCATTCAGTGCATTCAAAAGATGCCATATACAATCTTCAAAGGATAAAACGCCATTTTCTGTGGCGTGAAGGTAGAAGAGGCCTCATCAAAGCTCACCAGGGGCCAAACTGTTGCTGCCTGGGCTTGGCAGCCTTCGTGGAAGCTTGGAGAGCCTTCTCGCCCTGCGATTTCAAGGCAGCCTGCGCGGCAGCGAGGCGGGCAATGGGCACACGGAAGGGCGAGCACGAGACGTAGTCCAAGCCCGTCTTCTCGCAGAACTCAATGGAAGCTGGATCACCGCCGTGCTCGCCGCAGATGCCCATCTTCATGCCAGCGCGCTTTCCGCGGCCCCGCTCCACCGCAATCTTGATCAGCTCGCCAACGCCCTCCTGGTCCAGGCTCACGAATGGGTCCGTTTCCACGATGCCTGCGAAAGCGTTGAAAATGTTTAAATATGACGTTTCCAACAACCGTATCGTCTCTTCCTTCTCGGGCCACTGCCCGGTGCTACTCTTAAAGTATAAGGCTATAAGGCCCTCTGCCACTCTAAGAACTGTTGTTAATCATGTCCCACCTTTCGCTTTGTACTCAGGCAAGAAGGACCCGGCATCATCACGACTCAAGCCATACGTGGTCTGTGTCAGATCATTGGTGCCAAAACTGAAGAACTCCGCTTGCTCTGCCAATTTGCCAGCCTGCAGTGCTGCGCGCGGAAGCTCCACCATGGTTCCGACGTGATACCTGAAGTTCACGCCCTGCTCCTTCTGCACCTGCTTGGCGGTGTCTTCGATGACCTTCTTCAGCTGCACCAGCTCCTCCAGAGTGGAGACCAGGGGCACCATGACCTCGGCCACCGGGGTCTTCTTCGCGCTGCGCCCGACCTCCGCGGCCGCCTCGAAGATGGCCCGAGCTTGCATTTCGCAGATCTCCGGATACGTGATGGCCAAGCGGCAACCTCTGTGCCCGAGCATGGGGTTGGCCTCTTGCAGCTCGCTCGCGCGCCGGCGCACGCGATCCAAAGGCACCCCGGCTGCTTTTGCCACAAGGCCCATCTCGGCTTCGGTGTGCGGGATGAACCTTAGCTCAACGACGTCACTTCAGTGCACACACAGGGTGGCGCCGCGCCGTCGTGTATGGAAACCTTATGCAAGCTGCAAGACTTATGAAGCTTTCAAAGGCGGGCTTGCGCTTACACAGTGCCAGTGCCCAGGGATGATGTGTGAAGACTGAGGAGCTCATGCAAGGGAGGGTCCAGCAAACGGACCGTCACCGGAAGGCCGTCCATAATCTTGAAGAGCTCGGTGATGTCTTCGCGCTGCATCGCCAGGAGCTTGTTCAAAGCCGACTGGCGCTCCGCCTTGTCCGCGGCCAAGATCATCTGCCGCATGGCCTCAGACAGCATTCTGCGAATTCTACAAGCAGCGACATAAGCAGAGAAAGAATCAGCAGCGCACATCAGCAGGGCACGACGGAACTGGCAGCCCAGGTGCCACGATCCGGCCCCCCTCGAAGAACATGTGCTCCGTGCGCACGAGGCCAATCCCTTCGCACCCGAACTCCTTGGCCTCGCGTTTGATTCAGGTTGCAGGGAACACCGGGGCACTGGTGCCGAGGTGCCTAGAATCTAGAGGCCTATAGATTCTCGAGACCAAAAACAAGGATGAGGGGTAAAACCGAAAGAAGGGTGAGGAATGGTATGGGACGGCGGAAGCTTATCGCCCTCGGATCCCCCTTCGGCCTGCCGCGCGTCTGTGGGCGTTTCGGCATTGGCCCTGACCTGCATGGTGCGGAACTCGTCTGCCCAGGCCATGATGGTGCCGAAGGAGCCGGAAAGCTGCGGCGGCACCGTGGGGACTTCTCCAAGCATCACCTCTCCCGTGACGCCGTCAATGGTGACCAGCTGGCCCTCCTTGACGACCACGTCGCCCACCTCGAAGGAGGCCGAGGCGTAGTTGACCTTCACCTCCCCGGCGCCTGCCACGCAAGGTCTGCCCATGCCGCGCGCCACCACGGCTGCGTGGCTGGTCATGCCGCCGCGAGTTGTCCTCGAGCTGTTGGCACATCATTGTGCAATCACGTTTGGTGGTGCAAGATCCTTAAACCGCTTCCTCTGCTGACTCCACCTTTATCTAGCTCTCAAGACATTTGTCAGCCATCAAGAGAGCAGGTCATGTCTGATGCAGGCCAGGAGTCAAAACGCCCTCTGCCGCATGCAGTCCATGGATGTCGTCTGGGCTCGTTTCGACCCGCACCAAGATCACCTTCTCTCCGTTCTCCGAGCGAGTCACCGCCTCGTCGGCCGTGAAAACCACCTTGCCGGCAGCCGCCCCTGGCGAGGCTGGCAGGCCCTTGGCAATCACGGTCTTCTTGGCCTGTTTGCCGATGGTTCTGGTTTCTAAGTGGTTAGGGTTTGGTAGGCGGTTGAGGGTTTCGAGTCCCACGATTGTGTCAGGTCTGCTCCTAACTTCGAGATCCTTTGGGGCATCCATCAGTGCATCAGTGCCTTGGGGTCCAGCGTGGGGTGAAGGAGCTGGTCGATGAGATCCGGCTTCAGGCGCATGAGGGCCTGCGACTTGCTGATCAGCCCTTCGGCGGCCATGTCCACCGCAATCTGCAAGGCTGCGTGGGCCGTCCGCTTCCCCGTGCGGGTCTGGAGCATGTACAGCTTGCCTCGCGAATGTCAGGAACCAACCCTGTGAGGGAAACCAACCCCCACCCCCTTAGAGGAGGGGGGTGCAAAATTGTAATTTACATTTTGGGCCCCCGTGATTTGCGGCACTCCTCGGGCGCCAGATATGCAAAATTGTAAAATAAAAGCGTTTACAATTATGCGCCCCCTCCCCCATTTTACATTTTTAAGGGGGTGGGGGTGGAAACCAGAAACAGCTCGGGATCCTGCCTTGCTGGATGGTGAACCTCAGCTGCAACAACGTGCGTCCACCTTCTGCAGAACAGGGACCCCATCTGCGCACAGCAGACCCTCTCCGCCTTCGCTCAACTTGACAAAAATATGCTAAAAAGCCGAGGAGCTCGATGTCCTGCATGTCCGTGTAATGGTTCTCCAGCTGGTGGCGCACCTTCTCCAACTCCTGGAATATGCTCGGCATCACCTCCTCCAGCGATGGCAAGTCGCTGCCGTGCGACTTGCGAGCTTTGATCGTCAGCTCCTGGGGCGTCCGAATGCCCGCCACGACATCCTCTCACGGGAAGGCCGCAATCTCACGGGGGCAGGCAGGGGAAGGCATGCGCATGCACGGAGGGCCCGCGCCTCGCCCTGAGCATTCACCAGGAACTCTCCATAGAAATCCTCCAAGGCGATGCTTATCACAAGCTTTAAGAGACACACCACTTCACATGCTTCACATGCTTCTGACAGCTACACCAAGCCCCCGAGAGGCCTTGGCGCCGTTGGAGGGGTTGCGCGTGAAGGCGACTCCCGTGGCGCAGTCGTTGCCCATGTTGCCAAAGACCATCGCCTGAACGCTCCCAGGGTGACGCGAAGCCGCTCGCTCGCCCTTTCAAGTGAGAAGGACGCGGCCTGAACATTCACAGCCGTGCCCCACTCCTGACAGCAATCTGGCAGGGCCCGGGGGCTGCGAAAGAAGCGCAAACCTCTCAAGGGGTCCTCGGGGATGTCGTGCAGCTTCCGGTAGGTCTTGGCCCTCTGGTTCATCCAGGAGCCAAAGACGGCACCCACGGCACCCCAGAGTTGCTGATGCGGCTCCTAGCCGGTCAAACTCTCGCAAGCATTCCGCGACATTCCGTGTGTTGCAAGGGGACCTAATGGACGTCTGATTCTTCGGACTTGGCATGTCAACTTGCTGCAATCGTCGTGTTGAAGGCCCGCTATCCGCTCTCTCCTCGGGGAACTCCTCCCCGAGCTCCAAGTAGACACAGGCCTTACATGATCACTGCTTGATCCAGAGGCTTCGAGTCACACCGCACAGCCTCCGCACAAGGCCTTGTAGTCTTTCACCAACTGCTCCAGGTCTTCTGGCAGGAGCTCGTGATCTTGCTTCACCTCAGTTCTGAAGCTCACCTCCGAAATCCAAAGTTTGCGCGCGTTTTTGCATGCCTGTTCGCGAGAATTCTTCCGAGCGACGCCTCGCTTGGCCTTGGCCCTCTCCAGAAGCTTCTCAAAATTGCCAAGCTCGATACCCAGCACCACATCTCAGGGACCCATGCTCAGAGGAAACGGAACGCTCATCTCATTCAACATGCAGCACTGATCAGCACTGATATGAAAACCGGCAGTGGCACTGCCCTCCTGAGTACATCTGGACGAAGCGCCGGTAGCTGTCGAACGCAAAGCGCCGGTCTCCCGACTGCTTGGCCAGCGCCTGCATCGCTCTTCCGGGAATAAGCTGAGCCCCGTTTCCGAAAGTTCCGAAGAAGCTTCTTGTTCTGCCTTTCTCGCTAGCCACTTTTCCCCGCCTCCGCAGTCGTGTTGTTCAGGCCGAGGTTAAGCACCTGGAGAAGTGCTTCTGGACAAACAGCCCATGGGGCTCCACTGCTTGGTCCACAACCCTAAGCCGCCAAGCCACGGTGTCCATCATGCCAGGCATGGAGGCCCGAGCACCCGAGCGGACCGAAACCAGCAGGGGATTCGTGGCATCCCCGAATTTCCGCCCGGTCCTGCGGTCGCGTGAGTGCGCACGCGTGCGCTTGGGCCATCGGGGAGTGCTGAAGCATGCTCAAGCCTTTTCCGGCCTTGTCTCAACCAGAGCTAGTGCCTTCGACACCTGCTCCTTGAGGTCTGCAGGATACTGACCTCGATCGCTGCTCAGCGTCTCTCGTCTTCTCTATGCTAACCCGATGTGCACGCTGCCCTTCCCCGCCGCTTCTCTGGTTAAACGCCGTCGCTTCTGCCTTTCTCGATGAGTTTACAGTCAAGGCACAGCCATTCTGGTAGTAGTGCGTGCAGACCTTCGACAACGATAGAGCACTCCCACTTCAGATGCAGACTGAAACCAACCTCCCTTGCCGGCCTCCGTGGTCAGGGTGAAGCCAGGCGGAACAGGAAGCCCAATGGAGGCCATCTGGCGCAGCAGGGGCTGGCTGCGACAGTTTTGGGACGCGTGGTTACCGTAAGGCGGTCACTGTTCTCACTGGGCTTGCTTTTGGCGAGAAGCTTGGCAGACACTGCCCTCTGACGTCTGGTTTAGCGAGCTCGGGTTCATCACAAGGGCTATGGGATATCCATGCAAGCTCACGCTGTAGATACAATGATGTACACTGATTCCTTGCTCGTAGCGCCACCGACACAGATTGCACAGATGTATGCACGGCCTCAGCGAGATTGGCACCCTTGCCGCCCAGGAGGTTCCTCAGAAAGGTCAGGGGAAGCGATGGACAAGGGCGATCTGAGGCCGACGGGAAAGAAGCAGCTAGACGGCTAGACGAAGATGCGCATGTCATCATGTCGGCATGTGTGTGCTGTTTCTGCTGCTTAGGTCTTGCAGACCAAGTTTCTTCATCTCGGCCCTGCCATCCGCGTTGCCAGCACCGAAGTTGTAGACCCAGGTCATGGCGGATAAGCAGCGCAGCGGCACGCGAGCACGGAAGCTGACAGAGCTGAAAGCCAAATGCTCGTACATCACCACGACAACATTGGAAACAGGAAATAAACGGGAATGGGGCCCGCTACTCCAGATACGAGTGGACATGCTCCTGCTCCCCCTCTGGCTGATTGGATACGCTCCTTCCCTTCTCTCGAACATGGAAACGCAAGTTGCTAGTTGGACACGTTCCTTTCCCCACCCCCCCACCCCCGGAATATGGTCAGACAGGTTGCCTTCCCCGGCAAGTATCAAAAGCAAGCGCTGCGAGTCGATGGATGAGGAAGGCCAAGGAGAGGAGAGAGGCTGAACGACATGAAGTCCGCAAAAGCCGGATTTTTTCTCGGGCACGCTGCACCGTCTGTCGAGTCGATTTCAAAGACTTAAACTTTCAACGCCAAGCTGCTGCCACTTCCTGCACAGCTGGGCAGCTTCCATGGCTACGACGCACGGGGCTCCCAAGCCGGGTGGATTGTCATCAGCTCCAGCCAAGGAGGGCGTCAGGAATTAAAAGCGTACTTGGGAAGCCAGCTGCCTTGCAGATATCTACTGCAATCGAAACTGACCATCGCAAATCCCATGCATTTAGCACCTGTCGGCGCAGTGCATTCAGTGCATTCAAAAGATGCCATATACAATCTTCAAAGGATAAAACGCCATTTTCAGTGGCGTGAAGGTAGAAGAGGCCTCATCAAAGCTCACCAGGGGCCAAACTGTTGCTGCCTGGGCTTGGCAGCCTTCGTGGAAGCTTGGAGAGCCTTCTCGCCCTGCGATTTCAAGGCAGCCTGCGCGGCAGCGAGGCGGGCAATGGGCACACGGAAGGGCGAGCACGAGACGTAGTCCAAGCCCGTCTTCTCGCAGAACTCAATGGAAGCTGGATCACCGCCGTGCTCGCCGCAGATGCCCATCTTCATGCCAGCGCGCTTTCCGCGGCCCCGCTCCACCGCAATCTTGATCAGCTCGCCAACGCCCTCCTGGTCCAGGCTCACGAATGGGTCCGTTTCCACGATGCCTGCGAAAGCGTTGAAAATGTTTAAATATGACGTTTCCAACAACCGTATCGTCTCTTCCTTCTCGGGCCACTGCCCGGTGCTACTCTTAAAGTATAAGGCTATAAGGCCCTCTGCCACTCTAAGAACTGTTTGTTAATCATGTCCCACCTTTCGCTTTGTACTCAGGCAAGAAGGACCCGGCATCATCACGACTCAAGCCATACGTGGTCTGTGTCAGATCATTGGTGCCAAAACTGAAGAACTCCGCTTGCTCTGCCAATTTGCCAGCCTGCAGTGCTGCGCGCGGAAGCTCCACCATGGTTCCGACGTGATACCTGAAGTTCACGCCCTGCTCCTTCTGCACCTGCTTGGCGGTGTCTTCGATGACCTTCTTCAGCTGCACCAGCTCCTCCAGAGTGGAGACCAGGGGCACCATGACCTCGGCCACCGGGGTCTTCTTCGCGCTGCGCCCGACCTCCGCGGCCGCCTCGAAGATGGCCCGAGCTTGCATTTCGCAGATCTCCGGATACGTGATGGCCAAGCGGCAACCTCTGTGCCCGAGCATGGGGTTGGCCTCTTGCAGCTCGCTCGCGCGCCGGCGCACGCGATCCAAAGGCACCCCGGCTGCTTTTGCCACAAGGCCCATCTCGGCTTCGGTGTGCGGGATGAACCTTAGCTCAACGACGTCACTTCAGTGCACACACAGGGTGGCGCCGCGCCGTCGTGTATGGAAACCTTATGCAAGCTGCAAGACTTATGAAGCTTTCAAAGGCGGGCTTGCGCTTACACAGTGCCAGTGCCCAGGGATGATGTGTGAAGACT